TTGTGGAGTCCGTACGACTTCCGGTAATAATACGCTGACGAATTTCTCTGCTGCAGTTGTTATCCGACGTCACCAATGATCCGAGGTACACAAATTCAGCCACCCCCTCGAACTCATCTCCGTCGATTGTCACGCTTCTGACTATGCCAGCCCTATCCCGCTCGGTTCCTCCAGCTGACAGATACTTTGACTTCGACGTATTCACCTTTAATCCAACCTTCTCTGCTTCACGTTTCAGCCTGTTGTACTACTCCGCCACGGCCTGAAACGTTCTTCCGACAATATCCACGTTGTCAGCAAAGCAGATGAACTGGCTGGACTTATTGAATATCGTGCCCCGCATGTTAAAGCCTAAAGCCGCAGCACTGTACACTATCCATCGTAGCCCTGATCAGTCTGGTCAGCTTCCCGGGAAAACTGTACTCGTCCATAATCTTCCATAGCTCTTCACGGTCAATAGTATCATAAGCGGCCTTGAAATCGATTAATAGGTGGGACTTAGGGACTTGATATTCATGACACTTTTGAAGGATCTGCCGCAACGTAAAGATTTGGTCCGTTGTCGATCGCCCGTCCACTAAACCGGCTTGATAACTTCCCACAAATCTTCTTGCTAGTGGCGATAAACGGCGAAAGATGATCTGGGAATGCACTTTGTAGGCCGCGCTAAGAATAGTGATCGCTCGATAGTTCTCACATTCTAGTTTGTCGTCTTTTTTATATACTGGGCATATTACTCCCTCTTTCCACTCCTCCGATAGCTGTTCTGTATCCCAGATCCTGACTATCAGTCGGTGCAGACAAGTGGCCAACTTATCCGGGCCCATTTTGATAAGTTCCGCTCCGATACCTTCTTTCCAAGGTGCTTTGTTGTTCTTAAGCTGTCGGATAGCATCCTTAACTTCACCTATCGTGGGAGCTGGAATTCCCCCTCATCCGCTGTACCGACGAAGCCATTCCTCCTGCCGCCTTGGTCCACCGCCTCTGCGCCGTTCAGATGTTCATCTTAGTGCTGCTTCCACCTTTCAATCACCTCACCACATCTAAGATATGACACAAACATCAAAACGGCCAGGCCTACTGAGATGTTTTTGCCGCAAAGATGATTCTGTGGAATGTTTTCTTTAGTTTCTTGTTTTCCGTGCTGGGCACTAATGCTACCAACGCCAGGGAGGCAGAGCTCGGCCAACGGCTTTACTTCCCTTCCGAAGGAGGGCGTGATCAGAGATGTTATGCCTCAGAAAATGCCGGCGGCACCGACTGAGATTGAACCCAGGCATTTTGGGTGAGAGGCAATCACGCTTACCCCTACACACCACCGGTGCCGCTTTTCTGTGAAATGATTCGAGTATATATTAAATAGGACAATAATAATGACAGGATTCGTCTAGGAAGTAATGTCACGATAGACGGGGATACTTTCGAGGTAGTGGAGGAATTCGTTTACCTTGGATCCTTACTTATGACTGACAACAATGTGAGTCGTGAAATACGAAGGCGCATCATCAGTGGAAGTCGTGCTAACTACGGGCTCCAGAAGAAACTACGGTCAGAAAAGATTCACCCCCGCACCAAATGTACCATGTACAGAACGCTAATAAGACCGGTGGTCCTCTATGGACACGAGGCATGGACTATGCTCGAGGAAGACCTGCAAGCACTCGGAGTTTTTGAGCGACGTGTGCTAAGGACGATCTTCGGCGGTGTGCAGGAGAACGGTGAGTGGCGGCGAAGAATGAACCACGAGCTCGCTGCACTCTACGGCGAACCCAGCATCCAGAAGGTGGCCAAAGCCAGAAGGATGCGGTGGGCAGGGCATGTTGCAAGAATGCCGGACAACAACCCTGTTGGTGTTCGCTACTGATCCGGTTGGCACAAGAAGGCGTGGAGCGCAGAGAGCACGATGGGCGGACCAGGTAGAGCGTGATCTAGCGAGCATTGGACATGACCGAGGATGGAGAGCGGCAGCCGCAAACCGAGTATTGTGACGTACTATTGTTGATTATTTCTTATCTTAAATGTGATGTTGTACAAATAAATGTATGTATAAATCTTTCGTAGGCTGTGTTTTGTTATCCAGCAAGCATAATTTTTAATATCCTTCATGTACTAGGGGAATTTACGTATTCTCGGCAACCTAAGCAGCGACCTTCTTTCTATAGCCTTTTTCTCTATGGAACGCACACATATGCAGTATTGGTTTGTTTACAATCTTTTGCTGCCAGCTGCTCTAACAATTTCAGTCGAAAGAATTGTCGAAAACTGTTTTGAAACGCTTTTACAAAGCTCCAATCTTCTCTAGTGAGAGCGAGTATTGTCGGCAACCAGTTTTTCTTCGGCAACCGTTCCATTTGAACTGCATGTAAATCTGCTGTTCTATTATCGGCAACTCGAAATCAGCTACAATTTGTAGTGCGTGTGTTTCATTTCAAGAAAAGCCTGCTAGATTGCTTTTTCTCAGTGGTAAAAATATAGTCAAATTGAAGCTGAAAGCATAAAGAACCGTTTGCATGCATTCAGCGAAGTGTTTTCGTAAGAAAATCCAGTGAAAATAGTGTTTCAATTTGGGTAGCCGAAAATAGTCTGTCATGCCGAAGCCGTCATTTCCCCTATTTAGATCTCATTTTTGTTATGATTACTGTTAACTCGATCGGTTGTAAACACATGTTTTCGTGAATACTTATATCAAAATATCAAACTATGTTTTCATGTTGGTTTTCATTGCCTGCTAAGTGTGGAGCCAATATTTATCTAGTTCGTTTATTTGGAAGGCTCAATCGCTTTGGCTTTACGGAGCCAATAATTCTTTGTTCATTGTTTTTGACAAAAATCACTTATATCTATATCTAGTAGGAGTTGGGTCGAATACTCGCGGCTTACCCGAGGTAAGAGGGGTACATTGTTGAAGGATAGGATCATAGGAGGAGCTTGGGAGTGGGTTTTCGTTGTCTCATGAGAGCGTTGTCGCCAGTATGAACGGTACCCAAGTAATAATTTTGGTTTTATGAGGGTTCTGTAGAACATGATTTAGGCTTGTAGAATGTTATAAAACCTCGATAAAATATGCAATGTTACTTGGGTAGGGTGGTTCTAGCTACGTCTGAAGTTTGACCGGGTATGGTGACCAGTCTTGAACCAATATTTAATAGTACAACAGTATTGCTTTTTTCATTCTTGAAATTTTGCATTACCTTACCTTCACCCACTTTACTCTAAATCTAAAGAAATACAAAAGTTGCCAAAGAAATCGCAAAGGAACCTGTACTAAAGATAATCATCAGATAAAATGCTCGCTCCTTGGAAAAACGACAGTTTCTGTTATCCAACTGCAAGAGAATACTATAGAAAACATAAAACTATATAAAAAAAACCAAAGTCAAACCGCGATACTTTTCAGACATCCAATTAAAAGTTTGGTTCGTTCCGTATCGAACTTATCAAAAATACTTGCATCGCTTTAATACTCCGAACACGATGCCTCTGGTAAAATGAGTAGCGGAAAATTAGCACTGTTTGAAAAATCATTGCTCAGCAATTTATCTATCGGTTTTCAATCTATTAACACCGAATGAATCTATAAAGTCTGTAGTTTCAAATTGCGTTGAAATATATAAAATTCATCAATAAATGGCTGTGCTTTGATTTTTAAAACATTGCAAGTTTGCAGCTACACATTTTACCGGAGGCATCGTGTTCGGAGTGTTAAAAACTGTTAAAGGAAGTCGATAAGAAATTTGGAAAATATTAATAGAAAATGCAAAAAATGTATCCCAAAAACACGCAATTGCCACGAACTCCATCAATTAAATCTATTTTTAAAACGTAACGTTTAAGTTTCTTCGTTCACCCATGCAAAGGGTTTTCCGATAAAAGAGCACGTTTGTCTATCGCCTGTAAGGCACTCCGGTTCAATCTTTTCGCTTAGGAAGTATAGTGTGCTCTTTCAATGGCTGCACCACTACAGCTTGTCCCCACATGTAGGTACTCCCCCTACACATGATTGACAGCACAAAGCTTCAACTTTCCTCATCATCGTGGAGGACGACTTTTTCCTATCCCGAAGACATCGACGCTTGTTCCCGTTATGTCCCTTGCATGTTGAGAAATTTCCTGCATCGCCGGGAGGGCTGCCGCGCCCACACCATCCTTCTAGGAATAACAACTTCCGAGCAAAAGTAAAGGATTCACTTTGTTTGGTACACCCCCCCCCCCTTCCATTCCTGTAACATCAGACATCCGTCCCGACGACGATGGACTTAGTTTGTGGCACCCGGGAATCGGGGATGATATAGGGAGCACGTGAAGATGCTTCATGGTTCAACGAATTTCTCGTTTCTGGATATACAAACACACACACACTACTCCTGAAAGGGATAAATGGTAGTAGAAATGTGATTACGTGGAAAAGTTCCACAAGGCAAACGGAGTTGCGAAAGAAAAGAAAACTGTTTCACATTTGTCACTCGGACACTCCCGTCTCCTCAGATTTCCGGAAGCTCGAATTGGTCCTTCGAAAAATGTGCGAAGCACGGTGAAACCAATTTCAAATTGATATTTTTTTTGTAAGGTTCCCTAGATTTTGATGGAACGATTATTCCTATCTCCGAAGCACAGAGCCGGCATTCTTTTCGTTTTCTTTAGATTCGATTTAAGACTGATTTTTTGTTTCGACTTGCTATTATGGATTAAATCACTTCCAATAAATTAGTTCAAATCGAATTTCCACCACTCCAACAACTAAAGATTGGAAAACAGTTTCGGAAATACAACTGAGCGTGAAATGAGGGTTGCCTACGTTTCGTGTATGGGATATTATTTTCAAAACGAATAGTGATGAGGATCTGCTGATTTCAGTAGTTCTTCCAATGGATCCACGAAGACATGGCCAGAGCAATTGAAGATTCATCTCATGATTTCCCGAAGGCTATTTACAATTCATCGCTACCGAGTAAAGCTATTTCATAGGGCACACTCTATTGAGGGAAGATAATTACACCTACCTATTGAAACTGATACTGTTGATGGAGCCATTCGTCCATTGGCGTTCGTTGCTCGTTGTAGCAACACCGGATCGTTCAAGAAGAGTTGGTTCTGAAAGAAGAAAACAAGAAGAAGCAGATTAAACCCCTTTATCTACAAGAATGGTGCCTGGTACGATACTGGGGAGTCATGACCGTTTCGGGTGCCGCTGTTAAGCTTAGTCACAATTGGACAACATTTCCGAATTGAATGGAAAGAAAATTAAACTTGTCTCCTTTGGAAGCAGTAGCATCAGCCGGCGTTTCAATTTCAGCTCAGTGTTCAGATAATGCCAACAGAGTTTCATTGAAAGGCAAGCTACGGTGGAATGCTCCCGGCCTGGGATAACAAATGACTGACGTTGTCCAATCTGGATGGCGGATGGAATAAATCGTTTCCGATTGAGCAAATAAAGAGACCGGAATCCGATTATTCAGACAATCCTTCGAGAAGAGACTGGTGCTAATGAAATGACTTATACCCGGTTTACATACGTGATGGTTCAGCATTTCTGACAGCTCAAGCAACTAGCACGAATTTAGGTTTCTCCTGAATTGACATGCTGACAGACGCTGAAACCCGTTAGAAAAATTTGTTCACATTTATTTTTTTCCAGATTCTAAACATTGGATTCTCGGTATCTTGTTCCAATATTTTTAGATTATTAGATCATAGCGTCAGAAATTTTGATTTTGCGTAATGCTTCCCCCTAACGTCTGCAATGGGAATTCGCATTGAAGACGTTAACGCGAACGTTATCGACGGAAATCGATTGATAACCCTTTAATAGAGCAGACGAGCAAAAAGTAATCCATGTTCAGGATCAGACGGAGATCCCAATAAATCTTAATCAATGACTCTGTTTGTACCAAACATCCATCGAATATAGACCAGCTTGTCCCAAGTTAAGCAAAATGTGGGATTTCCAGTGAATGAGGATGATTAAATCCATTTTCGTATTTGTTCACTTGCCATAACACCCACAACCCGATAGCATAAATGTGATGACAAAATTAGACGCTCAAAGACCAAAAACATCGGCGAAACCCTAATTGGGACCGTAATGGTTCAGATAGTTTCCATTCGCTTTTCGCTTTCCTTCCCATGCTTTGCCCAATCACACACAACCCCTGGAAGGGGTGAGAACAGCGGACGAGTGATGAGAAGTGAGGTGGTCGTCCAGTCGTATAATTATCTGGGATGGGATTCTGCTGAATTGAGTGAGCGATAGGGCTGGTTGCGAGAAGCTGCCGCCTGGCCTGGTAGGTATCGCTCAGTAAACATCGTTAGAGTTTCGTTCGTGACGTCATAGGCAGGAAGAAACAGCTCATTTTGGGGATGTTTTCCTTTTCGTAATTTTTACTGCTACAACTAGTGCTTCTACTGGTAGGTATCGGTAGTAGCAGATTGCTCGATTGCGGCCCTCCTCAATGTGGGTGGAGAGTGAACAATGAACTTTGTTGGAGAATTAATCACCGTGGTGCGTCAGCTGATTTCAATGGCGTCTGATGTTTGAATTTTATTATCTTTCAGTAGACCGATCAATTAGAAAGTTTTTTTTCGTGAGCGTTGTCTAAAGGGAAATTAATTTGCTTCGTAAAATTCATGGAAACATAGTCTTCGAGATTTAAATTTCATGGAAATTTCTGTCCAACTTGTTCGAAAACATTTTTTTTTATTAATGGTAGGTTTTTAATAAAGCTTTTGAATTAAGGGATAACATTTATGTCTTGGTTTCTATTTCGAGGCTGTTGTTTTATGCGTATACTCTCAATATGTATTCGTTAATTCTCTTACGCTCGTTTCGTAAAAATGGGATTCCTAAATAAAACACATTTTCGTAAATTTTACGAAACATTTGTATTGCCTGTCATCTGGAAAAATGGTAATATTACGCCTTATTCGTACGGACCAGCAAACTGGTATTCTTCTGATCTTCTAAGGTGCCTGTTCATATTTGTATAGCTCCTGTTGCTGATGGCGATGATGTGCTGAGTTTTGTGTGTTGAAAAGCTGTTACTGCTGTTGTCGTCTCATATTTTTTGTTGTTGAAAGTTATGCTGATGTGAATGATGATTGCCATGAAGGTGAAATCACCAAGTTGATGTTGGAGATGGGATTACAATCCCAGAGGGACTTTAAGGGAAGTGAATGGATTCCGCATTAGTTTGCGTTGTTCCGTATCAATAATGTGGAGGGCTAAAATTATTAGTTTAAATCATTTGTGGAATAGTAAAATAAAAGTGCGTTCTAACGAAATGACATCGTACATGCAACGATAACCAGGAAGACAATTTGAAAACCAGAGTATGATTCAAAGTGTTTTTATGTTACTTCATATGCGAAGTTAACGATTTTCAGAGTTGGTTGGAAATGCTAACATGAAGCTTTAGAGTGATGATTTATTAGCTAGATAATGATTTTTAGAAGAGGGTAGGTGGATAGTTCCGTTACAGTACGGCAGTATGAAAATTGAATAGAAGTTGAAAATGAGCGAAGGGCCATTAATGCGACAGTTTTTAAAGATAGACGCACATTTTTGCCTAACCCGTACGATGTAACATAAAAACACATTGAATGTAACAACTCAAGGCGGGAGTAGCCGTCAACAATGCTGATGATGGTACAGCACGCAACAACCACCCTACTGCTTTCTCTCTGAGATGATCACGTTGGTCATGACGAGAGGAGCAACACAATAGTTGGGTAAAGAAGAACTGCATTATAACACACCATCGACTGGAAATGCTCTCGTGACGTGGGGCTTTAGGTAGTGATGAAAACGTCGCTAGAACTATTCCACAGCCGCAGTCAGTTTATGAGCAACAAGAGGGACGCACATTTTTGCCTGTGGACTTGGAGACATACTTCAAGTCCCCGCGTACATCGTACGGGTTAGGCAAAAATGTGCGTCTATCTTTAAAAACTGTCGCATTAATGGCCCTTCGCTCATTTTCAACTTCTATTCAATTTTCATACTGCCGTACTCTAACGGAACTATCCACCTACCCTCTTCTAAAGATCATTCTCTAGCTAATAAATCATCACTCTAAAGCTTCATGTTAGCATTTCCAACCAACTCAGAGTATGATGCTATTAAAGCTGATAATCTGACGCCAAATGCCAATTTTTCTCTGAAAAAAAATGAAATTTTCGATGCTCTTTGTATTATTTTCGATCAATGCTCATTTTTTTTGAGTATACGAATGTTTCGTACTTACTTTTATCGACACGAAAGGAACATATTTATTTTATGAATAATTTGTATGCGATACGAAATAAAATGTGACATTTATAACGAAAAGAACATTACAATCATAAAACAGTACGAATCAATTTCGATGCAGATAACAACGAATAGGTTCGTGGATCAAACGAACAATTTCAAACATGATCATGAGCATGATTCACCACCTGTGGATGCATCTCCGTTAATGCCAGATAAGCTGTAAATCCACAGAAAACCAATAGTTGTTGTTTGGGACTAGCAATCATCTTTAATGTTTAAATACTGGTGATTTAAAAATTGGCAATACCAGCACCGGTCACGTCCGTGTATTTTATTGATTTTTAAAAAGTTGTAGAGCATTATAGTCATCTAAAACATATTATTTCGGAAATATTTCCAAAAAACGGATTTTTGAGGCCTTTCTATAAAAAAACGCTTCATAACTCAAAATCGCAAGTAGATAGGCGTCTTATACAAAGTTTTTAGTTATGAAGCAACCTAAAACTTAGCTGAAGACTTTATATCTCTATCTGGTCAAACTAAAAAGTTAGATTTTGCAGCGCCACCTGTGGTGAAGTTTCAAACTAAAACTTTACTTCATTCAATGGGTCTTGTCATTTATAAAAAAACTCTTCTCAAGACACCCTATTGAAAAAACCAACGTAAAAGGTGCTAACGAAAAAAGTTCATGGATTTGGCCTTTTGCACCTCTGTGCTACGGTCAAGTACGAGATCTTGCATTGAAACGCCTAGCTACAGAAGATGTCCAAGTTGTGCGTCTGGTGGCAAAAGGGAAGGATGTAAATACCATGACGTTCATTTCCTTCTAAATCGGAGCCCTCCCAACGTCAACCAAAGGTGTCCTATTCAACGAATTTAAGGACAATACTAAAGGAACTTTTGGATATAAACAGAGAGAACCCCGCTCAAATTCATATTCCTACTCAAAACACAAGCTTCTACTGCAGTTAAGGTGGGAAATACATAGTAACACGTCAAAAACTCGACGATTTTCGGATTTTTTTTGTGAGCAAATTAAACAATGTAAACGTTTGAAAAATTGATTTTTTTTTAATCATAGCTTTTATACCATTGAACCGATTTGAATGATCAAAATATTAAATGAAAGGTTATTAAAAATGCTTTTCAGAAAAAATATAAACTTTTTTGAAAATTGGAGTTTTGTATCGAAGAATTTTGATTGTTTTTTATGGTTTTCATGGTTTGTAGACGATGGGCGTAACAAGTTTTTATATATTTTTTTTTTGTAAATTTAGGCTTTTCTACACAACATATCAAAAAAATCAGCGATGTATTTGTTTTCATTTTTGAGTTACGATTTTTTGAAATTATCATGTTTAGAAATTTCGCTAATTACTCCAATACGACTAGATTACCCTGCGTCTCCATTGATACATATCGAATGTAGCATGGTTACATTAATTACTTATTTCAATTTCTGATCCTAGACAACCATGTCATTCATAGAAAATTGAATCAAATTTATTGATTGCTTTTGCGTTATGTGTAAATAATAATTACTACAGTGATTCATAGCATAGGAATTCAAATAGAATGTTTTGATATTAAATTTGGGTAGTGCATCTTTCACGGACTGTTTGGAACTCCATATCTAATCCATATTTGGACTAGAATCAACGCTTTGATAAGACAATCTTATGGTTTCCAACTATGCTGGTTTAAAATAAAATTCTTTAATTTTTTATTTTTTTTTTTATTTGTAGACTAGAACGAGAATTGTTTCACAATAATATAATTTTCATTTTCTGGCCTAAAACTATGATATGACTGTGTTCCGGAAATTTGTTTGACACGATTATAA